GGCTATGCGGGCTCTCTTTTGGTTCCATATGAAGCTTAAGGTGTTCTTTTCCAGTTCTGTGAAGAACGTCATTGGTAGCTTGATGGGGATAGCATTGAATCTGTAAATTACTTTGGGCAGTATGGCCATTTCCACAATATTGATTCTTCCTAACCATGAACATGGAATGTTTTTCCATCTGTTTGTGTCCTCTCTTATTTCCTTGAGCAGTGGCTTGTAGTACTCCTTGAAGACGTCTTTTAAGTTCCTTGTTAGTTGTATACTATATTGAATAGCAGTGGTGAGAGAGGGCATATATATCTGGTGCCACATTGCAAGGGGAATGCTCCCAGTTTTAGCCCATTCCATGTGATATTGGCTGTTGGTTTGTCATAAATAGCTTTTATGATTTTGAGATACGTTCCATCAATACCTACCTTATTGATGGTTTTTAGCATAAAGGGCTGTTGAATTTTGTCAAAGGCCTTCTCTGCATCAATTGAGATAATCATGTGGTTTTTGTCTTTGGTTCTGTTTATGTGGTGAATTACGTTTATAGACTTGTGTATGTTGAGCCAGCCTTGGAACCCCTGGATGAAGCCTTCTTGATCATGTTGGATAAGCTTTTTGATGTGCTGTTGCAATCGGCTTGTCAGTATTATATTGAAGATTTTTGCATCTATGTTCATCATGGATATTGGCCTGAAGTTTTCTTTTCTTGTTGAGTCTCTGCCGGGTTTTGGAATCAGGATGATGTTGGTGTCATAAAATGATTTGGGAAGAATTCCCTCTTTTTGTATTGTTTGGAATAGTTTCAGAAGAAATGGTACCAGCTCTTCTTTGTATGTCTGGTAGAATTAGGCTCTGAACCCGTCTGGACCTGGGCTTTTCTTGGGTGGTAAGCTCTTAACTGCTGCCTCAACTTCAGACCTTGTTATGGGACTGTTCAGGGTTTCGGCTTCTTCTTGGTTTAGGCTTGACAGGAGGCAAGTGTCCAGGAATTTATCCATTTCTTCCAGGTTTATTAGTTTGTGTGCATAGAGTTGTTTGTAATAATCTCTGATGATGGTTTGAATTTCTGTGGAATCTGTGGTGATATCCCCTTTATCGTTTTTTATTGCATCAATTTGGTTATTCTCTCTTTTCTTTTTTATTAATCTGGCTAG